CTCTGCCTCCTGAGTGCTGGGATTAAAGGCGTGCACCACCATGCCTGGCCATTCTGAACCCCTTCTTAGAGGGACCCTTTGCAATGGTGGCAAAGAGGGCTATGGTTTTATGAAGGGCACCCAGGACTTGCCCTTCCCAGGCTCCCCTCACTTCCTGTGCAGTCTTGGTCTCCAAATCTATGATTTTATCCTCTGCCACATGATGTCAATAACTACAGTGCTGTGGTAAAGCAGGCCATTGCTGGGCCTTATGTCACCTGTCAGAGTTGGGAACATGAGGCACAGGAGAGCGGGGACAAGCCAGCATGTCTTCCTTGGAGCAAGAACACAGTTCAACATCAGATGTTTTCCCCAGCTCTGTCTAGTCTCTTTCAGACCACCCACATCTTTAGAGCCTCTGGACCTTTCACAGATCCCTGCCTGACCCTCTTGCCACTGGGCCTCGCCAGGGAGGCACCGCTGCCCCTGACTTGGCATGGGGGGCAGGTCTATTCCAGGAGAAGCCTCACAGCCTGCAGAACAATATCAGGACGTCCCTGGAGAAGAAGAAGCGAGGCTCTGGGGCTTCCTGGGCCAGCCGGTCTGAGGCCACCCCACAGGGTGAGCTGGGGGAGGGGTCCACATATGTGCACAGTCTGAAAGCTGGTGTTCTCATGGGAACAAGAACCTGTGCCCTTGGGTCACTGGAGTGGGGGCTGTGGGGAACTCAGGATTCTCACCCACTGTCTCAGCTGCCCCCCTTGACCAGAACACAAGACTTCCTCTGACACCCCAGCCTGGCTTGGGGTGCTCTGTGACCCTGCCCTGGCCAACACAGCCATCTGAGAGTTGGGGCTGAGGGAGGGAACATCCAAAGTCAATCATCTCTCTTGCAATCTCCATCAGAAGTGGGTGCTGGGACAAGAGGGAAGTAACCCTGGCCGGAAGTTGTGTTCACCATGGCATTGTCACAAGTGCTGTTTCCACCTGTCCTTACCAGCCCTGCCCCACCATTGATGGCAACACTACCTTAGTCTACCACTGGCATCTCCCACCATCGTTGGTATGGCCCCATCTATGACTGCCACCCCCTCCCACCATCACTGACACCAACCCATCCTATGACCATCACTTCCCGCCACCACCATCATCCCACACCATAATCATCACATTCCACCATTGGTGTGACCCTACCCATGACTGCCTCCCACCATCACCACCACCATCCCAGTCTGTGACCATCACCTCCTACCATCACTACCTCCATCCCATCCTGTGTCCATCACTTACCTCCCACCATCATTTCCCTGGACCCATTCCAGTACAAAACTGTCAGTGGGGCTGGAGAGACGGCTTAGTGCTTAAGAACACTGGCTGCTCTTGCAGTACCCGGGTTCAATTCCCAGCACCCACATGGTGGCTAATAACTGTCGGTAGCTCCAGTTCCAGGGGGTCCGAAGCCATCTTTTGACCTCCACAGGCATTGTATGACACAGATACTCTTACACACAAACAGGCAATACACATATACATAAAATAAAAATAATAAAATACTAAAAAAAAGAAAACAGTGTCAGCACTTAGAGATAAGTCCAAGGTCAGTGCTCAGCTCCTCAGCCAACATAGCTGAGGGTTGACTTCTGTCATACCAGAGGCTGTCAAGGTCACTCTCCTCTTCCATCCCCCGCTTGTCCTCAGAGTCCATGGGCACTGTGTACATCTCCAAAGTGAAGAGCAAAGGCCGTCCTGCTGTCTACAGGTTTTCCCTTAATGCCAGCCTGCCGGCCCCCTGGCAGGCCGTGTCCCCGGGAGATGGAGAGGTGCCCTCCTTCCAGGTGAGCTGTCATGAAGTTAGTTGTCGTTGCTGGGGAGGGGTCCTTGGTGCCACACTAATGGATACTGACCATGTAGGTAGGGAGCACAGCCCTTGAGAACAGAGCTACTCCAGCACATGAGGACCAGCCTGTAGAGGCAAGGCATGTGGCAGGGCCTGAAGACAGAGAGACCTGGGTTCGAGTCTTGGCTCTGCCTTTTGTAACCTGTGTGTTGATGATTCAGTCTCTCTGAGCCTCAGTTTCCTAATCTGTGAAATGGGGGTATAAAAAGCATTGTTGGAGAGACCTGTGTAGCACCTGACAACTGGGTTCTAGTCACTGCAGCCTATAGTTTATACTGTAGTAAAGAGATTGCTCTAACACTAACACCCAGAAAACAGCCTCCCAGGACCAGTCCGGTCTTCAGTGTCCCTTCACCAGAATCGTCTGTGTTCCTTTAACCCTTCCACTATCCAGGCTACCGTACACACAGGAACTCATTTGGTCAAGCTGGTCTTCCCACTCAGAGATGAGGTCCTGGGCCTTGCTGACTCAGCCTCTGCCTGTGCCTCTCCACCACAGCCTTCCTCACAAATGTCACCCTCCCTCCATCAAGCCCTGCCTGGGTCCTCCTCCCCTGCTGCATATGACACCTAACCATCCCGACCAACCAAATCTGGCCCAGTCAGAACCTGACACCATCCTTGCTGCCAGCCCCGCAAGGCAGGGCCGGGCTCAGTCCTCAGATCCAGGCATGGTATCCTCCCTTCATTTCTGTTGCTGTGCTAAAACACCCCGACAAATAGTAACTTAGGGGAGAAAGGGACTTGTTTCAGAACACATACCTGCCTAGGAAATGGTGCTGCCCACAGTGGGCTCTGCCTGCTCACTTCAATCAATTAAGACAATCTCTCCACAGACATGCCACAGGCCAACCTGATGTAGACAGTCCCTCACTGAGACACCACCCAGGTGATGCTAGGTTGTGTCAAGTTAACAGTTTAAAGCTAATCACCACACCTAGTGGACCCTTGGTGGAAAGGAATGAGGCTCAGAGGGAACAAAGGCATTGCCCAGCTTTTGGGCTCAAACCTAGGCCTCTGAGCTTTGGAAACTGAGACAGGGTGGGGTATCCAAGGAGGGAGGGGACAGACCTTGAGGCCGGGCAGGCCGAGGCAGCTTCCCCGAGTCACGTGTCTTGTCTCTGTCAACCCACTGCTTAGGTGTATAGAGCGCCTTTTGGTGACTTCACCAAGAAGCTGACCGCTTGTATGTCTACAGTAGGGCTGCTCCAGGCGGCGAGCCCCTCCCGCAAGTGGATGGTGACGGCCTTGGCCTGCGACGCCAAACGGGGCTGGAAGTTTGACTTCAGCTTTTACGTGGCCACCAAGGAGCAGCAGCACACTCGGTAACAGCCAAGCAGATAGGCCAGTTTCTACTACACAGACTGCTCTGTGTCTCTCCTGGAGCTCTTTCCCTTCTTCCCATGTCCCCTTCAGTCTCTTCCCCTCTCCTCCTCTCTCTCTCTATCTCTCTCTCTCTCCCTCTTTTCTTTCTCCTTCCTCCCATGTGCCTAGGAATGGGGACACTGGCAAAGATAACTGGGCTACTGTCTGTCCCCCATCTCCCCTCCACCCTTACACCTAGAACATTCACCCCCAGGCCTCAGGAACATGACTACCTCAGGTTCATTTAGGCATCTACCCAATGCCAGCACCCCAAGAGGCTGTCCCTGTGTAGAACCCCTGCCCAATCCACAGTTGCCCTGCCCAGGCTTTCCAGGCAGTACCCACTGCTCCTTCTGGGCCCACAACTGCCTGTAGTCATGCTGGTCTGACACGTGCTGGTCTGACACGTGAGCTGTCCACCCCCAGGAACATGTCCACATCCTACATAGCACTCTGAGGGTTTGTTCCTGCTGCCTTCAGCACCTTGTGTGGCGTCCAGCACACAGCAGGTGCTCCGTAGATCCTGCTGACTGGCTGGATGAGTGTGTACTGTACTTCCTGTGCAGGGTTCACACCCACGCACTCAATAAGCAGGGAACTTCCTGTGCCTCTCTCTGATTGTAGGGGGATGATGGAAGCTGTGTCTGTTACAGTTTCCTATGGTATACTCAGTACCCACCCAGGGCCTGGCATGTAGCAGGTGCCAAATAGTTACAGAATGAAAGCCACGTTCTCTGCCTCATGGGGTCCCAAGCCCCCAGGGCAGTCTTGTCCCAGGTTTCCTCCCCTTGTGTTCTCAACACAGCTACGTTTATTTATCTGGTGAAGCTGCCTTGATCGAGCGTCCATCCATTGATTTTACAAACACTGAACGTGCATGGACTGTGTGTCAGCACGCTAGGGGCAAGATGGGGTGACGCACACCTCTGTGAGTGAAGCAGCTAGTAAGTATCAGCCGTGTCCTGATAGGCTGCGATTCACACTCAGGGAAGGACAGCGCAGCTCCCACGCTGCATCTCAGCCTGAGGCCTGTACTGTGTGTGCTGGAGACTAGTTTGAACTGACTTCAGGATGTTCAACACCTACCCCCCAAGACCAACTCTGCTTGTGAAGTCAGGAGGCAGGGGATGATGAGATCACACTAGCTGAGTCCTTTACAGCTAAGCACCCTCAGTTCAGGGTGGGCTGCCCTCTCCTGAGCCTGGGGCTGTGCTCAATCAATCTCTATGCACAGCCACAGCCTGGGGCCAAGCTGACAGCCTGGACGAACATGAAACATTCCAGAAAGAACTCAGAGCCAGTGACCAGCAAACTGCTGGGCTACAGAACCCTTCCTTCAGACAGAACCCAAGGCTCCTCAACTGCAGGTTGAGGTGGGGCCTGGAGACTACTGAGCAGGGCACCAAGGCTGGCCCTGGGTCTCTCTCAAATCCTTGAAGGACAGTTTGAAAACTACACTGAGGCTTCTAACCCCCTCGTGTCGGTGTGGGAACCAGAGCCAGAGGGAAGGGTCACAATCAGGGTCAGGTGGGTCTTGGCAGGGGCAGGGCTAAAGCAGGCCCTCAAACCCCTGCCCTGGGCATCCTCTGCCCCCATGCTGGGGTAACCTAGCTCTGTCCCCACTCTCCCAGGCCCCTGGCATGGCTTCCCTGACCTCTCCTGGCCTTCCGGGCTCAACCCAGCCTCCCTGCCTCCACAGGAAGCTGTACTTTGCTCAGTCTCACAAACCCCCCTTCCACGGGCGCCTGTGCATGGCACCACCCGGGTGCCTGCTCAGTTCCAGTCCCGATGGACCCACCAAAGGCTTCTTCTATGTGCCTAATGATAAAGGTACTTGTAGGGGCACACCCCTGGGGATACTGGGAGGGGGTGCTCAGAAGCCTGGGCCCCACCCTCAGTACCTGGCTCCTTCCTGCAGTGCCCAAGGCTCGCCTCTCTGCCACTTTTGGCTTCAACCCCTGTGTGAACACGGGCTGTGGGAAGCCGGCAGTGCGGCCACTGGTGGACACAGGAGCCATGGTCTTTGTGGTCTTCGGCATCATTGGCATCAACCGTACCCAGCAAGCGGACAATCACGTCATAGGAGACCCGGTACGGCCACTTTGGGCAGATGAGAAGCGCCCAGCTGCAGCAGCAGCCTTGCAAGCCCAGCCCCTCACAGACCCACATAGAACCTCCACAGCTCCCGCCCCCAGGGTGGGGAAACCATTTCCCCCTGGAGGGCTAGCCAGGGCTGACTGAGAGTTACCTAGGAATCTGGGTACATTTGGGAGGCCACACTGGCTGCTGGTCTCTATTAGAGGCCGGAGCTGAGATGAGGGAAATTGTATGTGAAACCTCCCCTCCTCCTCTGAGGTGGGGCATGTGTGTTGGCACCACTGACCGTGTGTGATGATGGGAAGGTGTGCTTACAATGTCACTAGAGGTCACAGCACTGGGCACAGGCATGGCAGGTAAGACATCATCAGAAGTGACGGAAGTAGACAAGGTCTGTCCAGTCCAGATGGGGACTCCCCATGTTCAGAGCAGGGGCAGGAGCCCAGAGGGGACTGGCAGGTGTTTCAGGACACCTGGAATGGAGTTGACTGGAAGGAAGAGAGAAAAACTCACAGTTCTGTTGAGGGAAACAACAGAGGAGAGAGCAAAGGGCTGTGGGGTGGGGGTGGGAATCTCTTACGGAAACACAAGAAGGGAAGGGGAGCCCAGGATTGAGTCCTCAACTCACTGAGCGCCCCGGCCGGTGTGTCTCTTTGGGAAAGGGCAGCGTCATCTACGACAGCAGCTTTGACCTCTTCAAAGAAATCGGGCACCTGTGTCGCCTCTGCAAAGCCATTGCTGGCAACTCAGAGCTGGTGAAGCCGGGCGGGGCCCAGTGCTTGCCCTCAGGTGTGTGGGGTCTGGGGGTCTGGAGCAGGTGCTCAGAGAGTGAAGTGGCTGGGAAGGCTGTGGGGTCATGTCCATGGGAGACAGCCTGAAGAATGCACGCGTGGCTTGTGGGTGTCTGTGCACCTGTCTGCGCTGGAGCATGCCGATCCATTCATTCAGAGTCTGTGTGAACACTAGCACTTTCCAGATGAGTGAAGGCTTGCCTGTAAATGAGAATGATGCAAGGGTGTAGTGTAGCCTGCAGGGGGAGCTCTTCCAAAGTAGAAGCAGGGCTAGGGCCAGGCCCAAAGACACCTGGCTGAGGTGGCCCCAAATATCACTTTCCACCCAGTGGCAGGTGTGGTTTGTGGTTTTCTGGCTGCCCCTGCCCAATGATTGCACTTTGGAGGCCTGGGAGGCAGTGAGAGTGTGAACCTGCTGTGATGGGTGGGGGTGGCCACCCTTCCAGCCCCAGCCTCCTCTCCCTTTCTCCCCCTGCAGGCTACAGCATCTCCTCCTTCCTGCAGATGTTGCACCCAGAGTGCAAGGAGCTGCCTGAGCCCAACCTGCTGCCTGGGCAGCTGTCCCACGGGGCAGTGGGAGTCAAAGAGGGCCGTGTGCAGTGGATCTCCATGGCCTTTGAGTCGGTGAGCCCAGGAACACCTTGTAGAGAGTGCCTGCCCTCTGTTCCTGCCCCCTACCCTATCCCCAGCCATAATATTCTTCCCCTGGTCCTCAAAAAGACACGTCCATCTCATAATGCAAAATGTATTAGATCCCTAGTTTTAACAGTTCCAACATTGCTCAAAAGTCTAAGTCTAAAGTCTCCTTTGGAGCTCAAGGCAGACTCTAACTGTGAGCCACTGTAAAATCAGAAAGAAAGTCGTGTGCTTCCAATTAGAAGAAATGTGGGCATAGACAGGAGAAGTGAGCCCAAAGCAAGACTGAAACCCAGCAGGGCAAACGTTAAATCCTGTAGCTCATTATCCAACTCCCAGAGCATGTGGTGTCCTGAAATGAGTACCACTGGTGTTGAGCATCTCCACCCCCATGGCCTTAACTTTTTGCAGCCTGAGTGGTGTCTCTTGGGCTGTATTTATTTGTTGCCTGCAGTTTTCCTCAACAAACACTCCAGTCCCTGGCATCTCCAGTATCCTGGAGTCTCTGTTGCAACTTGGGCTTTATCCTCACATCTTCACAGATGCCATCTCAGAGGCTGCATACAGTGAATCTGACCCTGCTATACACCCTGACCTCTCAAGCCCTCCTTAGAAACCTGGGTGGACACTTCCATGGCCAGTAGCTTTTGTATTCTGCAGGCCCACAAAACCAGCACCCTGTGGACAATTGCCAAGGTCTGACACCAACTTGAACAGTAGATGGGTCCCCTTGGACTATGGCCTCAGTAGTCTGAATACCCCAGTAGTTAAACTCAGGAAAACACTTCCCTAGGTGGCCCTGTGTGTGTGTGTTTTTCAAGGGAAAATCTTTCAAACAAGGTCAGTTTTATGCACTGGAGTCTCCAGTGTCTTGGGTCTAACGAATTCCTGAGATGTGCTTAAGGCATCTTTGCTGCTCTCCCAGTGCAGAGCACTGGCTTCTCTTTAACCTCTGTACAATCACTTCCTCGTCTATAACTTTCAGTTTGTTCCCTTTCTGGTCAGACTGCATATTTTTAAATTTTCATTTACTGTTTTAATTTTATGTGTATGAATGTATTGCCTGCATGTAGGTAGGTACACCCATGTCATGCAGTGACCCTGGAGGTCAGAAGAGGGCGCTGGATCCCCTGGAACTGGAGTTACGAATGGTTAGCCTCCATGTGGGTGCTGGGAATTGAACCTGGGTCCTCTGCAAGAGGAATGCTCTTAACCTCTGAATCATCTCTCTAGCCCCCAGACTGCATATTTTTTTTCAAATCCTTCTGTTCTTTTTGCTCCCATTTTACTGTAAGTCTGGCTAAAATCAGGCAGCATTAATAATGCCACAGCTGTAATGTTAATGCTGACTTAAATTTTCCTCTGCCAAATTAATCTGTCATCTTTAAACTCAGCCTCACACAAGGTTTCAGGACTTGCAAGCAAGTTAGGGGAGACGGTTTATTTCTGCTCACAGCTCTAGGTTACAGCCCATCGTTGTGGGGACGTCACAGTGACAGGAGCATATGATAGCTGGTCACACTGCACCTATAGTCAGGAAGCACAGAGGAATAAGCTCACTTCCTCCACTCTTCAAAGTTCAGAATCCCCTGCCCAGGGAATGGTGCCACTTACAGTGAGTGGGTCTTCCCACCTTAATTCATACACTCAAGATGATCCCCCACATGCATGATCACAGGCCAACCTGATCTAGACAATCCCTCAGGGAGAATCTCTCCCCAGGTGATTCTAGATTTTATCAAGTTAACAGCTAAAATTGGCCATCACAGGCTGGAGAGATGAGTCCGTGGTTAAGAGCACATCCTTCTCTTCCAGAGGACCCCAGTTGGGTTCCCAGTATCCACCTCAGGTAGCTCATAACTGTCTGTAACTCCAGCTCCAGGGGTCTGATGCCTCTGACCTCCATGGGTACCTGCACACGCATGCATATATCCACATACAAACACACATACACACATGATAAAAATAAAAATAACTCTTTAAAATACCACAGGGACACAGACAAAATGTAGACCTTTTTGCCAGGTGTAACATGAAGGAAAAGGACTCTGGCCCAGTTCCCAGTGGAGTCCTTGTTCTCATCTGAAACCTCAAGAGCATAGTCTTTGCTGTCAATATTTCCTTCCAGATTCTGGTCTCCCAAACTTCCACCAGCACAATGGGATGCTGTGCTTAGAGAATTCTAGTTTCTCTAGCCCCCATTTTCAAACTCTCCCATATTCCTCCTACAAACCAGTTCTAGTGGCATAAAAACTACATGGTAAAGTTTAGTAGAGCATCCACCCCACTCCTGGTACCAATTTTTTGCATTGCTTGCTTTTCATTACTATGACCAAAATGCTTGACTGAGGCAAGGGAGAAAGGGCTTCATTTGGCTCATGGATTCAGAGAGTTCTGTTCACCACGACTGAGCTGGAACGGCAGACTAGAGCATCTCAAGTTGTGGTGAGTCAGGGAGCAGGAAATGTTGGCACTCCCTTCTAGAGGCGGGATTCCGACTGGATAATACTCCAGTAGCAGAGAAGCTCTTAGCACCAGAAACTGCGGTAGCCATCAGCTGCCGCTATTCCCAGAGACACAGGACCTGAAGCAGCCGCACCCGCTGCGCCACATCCAGAGTGAGTGCGCCCGGGAGCCCAGGCGCGCTCCCCACATCGCTTGCAGTGTGGCGGAGACCCCAGAGGGCCTGTGCACACCACGCCGGGGGTCCAGCGACCCCCCCATACCCTTCCTTTTCCTATTTTGTTCCATTGGGCCCCCAGCCCGTGGGATTGTGCCACCCACGCCCAGAGTGGGTCTTTCCCCTCAGTTAATCTAACCTTCTGGAAATGCCCTCGTAGACAGAACCAGACTCATCAAATCCTTGGTGAATCTAAATCCAGTCAAGTTGACAGCAAAGATTTGACCATCACACCATGTTAACCCTTTAAATATTCAAGTTAATGACATTAAGAACATCGTGTAAGCTATGAATAGCACCCATCTGCAAAACTTTTCATTTCTAACCAAAACTGTGCCCATTAATCACCAAACACCTGTCCTTCCAGCCTCTGGCGACCCTCATTCTCCTTTTGGTCTGTGTTTAACTACTCTAAATACCTCACATAAATGGAATCACAGGTTTGTCCTTTCCATTGGTGTACTGTGTCCTTCAAGGTCCATCCACGATATCGCATGTGGCAGAACTGCCGTTGTTCTTTGGGCTGATGCCACAGACCATTTGAAACAGGACATGCCCTTCCTTCTGTCACTCAGCCAGGGCATCTCCTTCCAAGCTGACCCTCAACAGTACCTACACACACACACACACACACACACACACAAATTTGCGCAGAGACATGCTGAGGCCATTTCATAGCAAGAACAGAATTGGGTCAGTGAGGCAACATAGAAGAAAGTTCTAGAGCCTGTTTAAGGCTTGCACTGTGAGCCAGGCAGGATGCCTCTGCCCTCACAGACTTGCAACCTCAGCCAGGAGGCAAGCAGCTTGCCAGACATTGAAGAGAGCTGTGAGGAAGCATTGGGGGCTTGAGAGCCCAGAAGCTGGTGCGGGGGCGGGGGGGGGTGTTGGAGAGATGGCTCAGCAGTTAAGATCAGTTGCTGCTCTTGTGGAGGACCTGAATTCAATTCCCAGCACCCACATGACAGCTAACAACAGTCCTAACTCCAATTCCAGGGGATCCAATGCCCTCTTTTGACCTCCATGAGCATTGCATGACATGGGTGCACCTACCTATATGCAAGCAATATATTCATACACATAAAATATAAATATTTGAAAAAGAAAGCTTTCTGAAGGAGATGGACCCCAGCCAACCTTGGGAGGGAGGAGTCTCCTGCATAAGCAGAGGGTGGTATGCAGGAGCCTGGGGATTCTAAGAAAAGATTATGTTGGTCCAGAGCCATGGGGAGTGGATCAGCACCCATACTCCCCAGTCTCACCGGATTGCATCCCCTGCAGACCACGTACAAGGGCAAGTCCTCCTTCCAGACCTACTCGGACTACCTGCGCTGGGAGAGCTTCCTTCATCAGCAGCTGCAGACCTTCCCTGAAGGCTCGGCCCTGCGCCGCGGCTTCCAGACTTGTGAACACTGGAAACAGATCTTCATGGAGATCATAGGTGAGCGCTGCTCAACCTCCTGGGGCTGGGTTGAGTGGGTAGCCACACAGAGGCAGCCTGGGGCATCAAGGGCTACTGTGGTCTACCCGAGCCAGGCTCTTGTCATCCTGTGTCCTGGCTCAGAACACTGGGGAGGTGTGATCCAGCGGTCAGGCCATTGTTGAAAGGCAGAGTAGGGGTATCCCTGCTGGTGGCATCTGGTCACATCTCATCTCAAATTTGGCCACCTGAAAAGTAAGAGTTGCCTGGCAAGATGGCTAAGTGGGTAAAAGCACTTGCTGCACAAGCCGGATGACCTGAGTTCAATCCCTGGATCCCATGGTGGAAGGAGAGAACTGATCCCTGAAAGCTGTCCTCTGACTTACAAATGTGCACTTTGGAATGTATGAAACACACACACACACACACACACGTGTAATATTTTTTTTATTTTAAATTAAATTAAATGAAATTTTGGCCAGCATGATGACGCGGTGGGTAAAGCTGTTTGCCATGTAAGCCCAGTGACCAGAGTTCGATCCCCAGAACCCACATAAGGGCGGAAGGGTGGAAGTGATTCCACAAAGTTGTCCTATTACCCCCACATGTGCACTGTGGCACACACACCCACAACATACACAACATGCACAGACACACAATAAAAGTAATTTAAAAAGTAAGCATCACAGCTCTTTCTAAGGTCAGCCCTGTGCCAAGGGCCTGTTTAGCTCCTTGAACTACTCCACCAAGTCCTGCTACTACCTGAGAGAGACTCAGAGGGGCCATGTGACTCAGAAGCTAGCCATGACTGCACCTCCATGTAGCCCCTGTAACCTCTGTACTGGGGGCAAGGGACACCACAGGTTCCTTGTCCTGCAGCCCCTTGAGGCCCACCTCTCCTACCTTGCAGGGGTGCAGAGTGCCTTGTATGGTCTAGTCCTCTCCCTGCTCATCTGTGTGGCTGCAGTGGCTGTGTTTACTACCCATGTCCTGCTCCTGCTGCCTGTGCTCCTAAGCATCCTGGGTATGTGGGCCAAGGGTGATGGTTCAGTGGGGATGAAACCAGCCAGGGCTTCCTGGGTATGTGGTTGGTAGAATAACGGGCCAGGCAGGTGGGGATGGGTCCAGATAGGGGTCTCCCTGGGCATGTGGTTGGTGGAACAGTGGGCCAGGCTGGTGGGGATGGGCCCAGGTAAGGGCCTTCTTGTCCTCAAGGCAGCAAGTTTCTCTGAGCCTCTGACCATCTCAGTGAGGTCTTACCCCCATTCTCACCCAGGCAAGACCCTCAGCTTGGTGTCATGTGACAGTGACACATAGAAACTACATGTCTATGGTCCCTGCATGGTGCCGGGTGTCCCCTCTGTGATAGCTTTTGGCTCTGTGGCACTTTACTATACCTACCCCCTTCTCCCTGGTATCACCTTCATCCCTCCTGTTACTTAAGGTGGAAACTTGACTCTAGACGTCTCTATTCACCAAGGACCCTCCAGGACTATGTGAGCCAGGGGGCAAGGTCCAAGATGTATTTCTGTTGTCCCCCTTACAGGTATCGTCTGCCTTGTAGTGACCATCATGTACTGGAGTGGCTGGGAGATGGGTGCCGTGGAGGCCATCTCCCTGTCCATCCTGGTTGGCTCCTCCGTGGACTACTGCGTCCATCTGGTAGAAGGCTATCTTCTGGCTGGGGAGAACCTGCCACCACATCAGGCTGAGGTGAGCATTCCTATGCATACCTCCCCAGGGAACTGGCTCCTACCTCTTTATTCCCACCCCTGAGGACAATTGGACCTATACTCACTCCTAGGCAGACTGTGTTCTAGGAGCTGTCCGCAAGGCTACAGTATCTCAGACTGCAGCCCAGGGAGCAGGGGGCAATGTTGTAGTCAGGGACATGAGGCCACATCTCTGCAGCCCTCCGAAGGTATACCCACAGCCAAAGCCTGCCGTGGACGTAGGGATGTGTTTGGGGGTTTTCTAGTTTCATTCCTGTTGCTGTGATAAAACACCCTGATGAAAAGTAGAGGAGAAAGGGGTTTATTTCAGCTCACAATTCCAGACCACAGTCCATCATTGTGGGGAAGGCAAGGCAGGAACTACAGTCACATCACGACCGCAGTCAAGAATGAATGCGTGCATGCTCGCCCGCTCATTTGGCTGTGCTCAGCTTGATTTCTCCACTTTCATGCAGTTCAGAACCCGCTCCCTAGGGAATGGTGCTTTCCATGGTGGACTGGGTCTTCCCCCATCAGTTAACTGAACGAAGACAATCCCCCAAAGACCGACCCGATGTAGACAGTCCCTCACTGAGACTTTGCAGGTGATTCCAGTTTGTGTCAAGTTGACAGTTAAAGCTGACCATCACATTTTATGTTTCTCAAGTTTGGTGTGAAGATAGTGAAAACTCGGTGGCAAATTTAAGTCAGTTACACATTTAACTGCTTTTGGTTCAAAGACTGAAATAACTACAGCCATAGCTCCCATTTTCAAAGACCCACTATGCAGACCCTTCTGCCCCAGGCTCTAGCAGCCTGTCTGCACCCTGTGACCATCCACCACTGTCCCAGCTCATGGGGGTGGCAATGGGAGCCTCAGGCAGAGTCCACCTGGGATGGCAGTGTGTCTGGGCGTGCTGCAAAGCCAGACCTGTGGTCCCCAGTGGGTATTCGTCCCCAACTCTCACTCTCCACTTCTCCAGGATGCCAGCTCTCAGCGCCAGTGGCGGACACTGGAGGCCGTGCGACATGTGGGCGTGGCTATCGTGTCCAGCGCCCTCACTACCGTCATTGCCACCGTCCCACTCTTCTTCTGCATCATCGCCCCATTTGCCAAGTTTGGCAAGATCGTGGCACTCAACACAGGCGTGTCCATCCTCTATACACTCACGGTCAGCACTGCCCTGCTGGGCATCATGGCCCCCGGCTCCTTCACCAGGACCAGGACTTCCTTCCTCAAGGCCCTGGGCGCTGTGCTGCTGGCAGGGGCCCTGGGACTGGGTGCCTGTCTTGTGCTTCTGCACAGCGGCTACAAGATCCCCCTGCCCAGTGGGGCTGCCCTATAGCCCTGAGCTTGGGTTCTGACTCTTGCACCTTGCCTGGCAGCTGGGGAATGGCAGAACTGAGTCCCGGAGGCTTTTTGTTTCCCAGACCTGCTCCAACTGGCTCCATTCCCAAGCCTAGTGGAACCTGGACCCACACTGTATGGACCACATTGCCCTCATCACAGCTCGAGCTGGGGGTGAAGCCAGCCACCTCCATACCATCTGGGCTGCAGCCCCTCCCTGGGGTCTGCCAGGCAGTGGAAGGGACTAGTCCTCCTCCCTTACACGGGCACAGCCAAGCAAGTGGCTTCCTGAGGGGAGGGTCTCCTCTTACACTGCCTCAGTGCTCACGACCTGTTGGGGTAGACATTTCAGGGCCCCACTCTACAGACATAGACACTGAGGCACCAGGAGGCAGGGACTGCCCTGTAGCTGGGTCAGGACAGAGCCAGGGTTGCCTCAGAACACAGGCCTGCTAGGCCTTTGCAGAAAGAGCACATGACGATGCAGGGCAGGGGTCCTCACACCTCTGAACCCTACTCTCTCGACTTTATGCATCCAGTGCTGGGTGACCCGTGGTCCTCCCCAGGCCAGTGTCCAGACCACCGAGGACAGAGGCACCTCATTGTGCATGTTCCACCCCCAGCCTTGGCCTCCAGGGCTCCCCAGAGACCCTCCCCAAGGGTTGGGGGCCCAGCACAGCCGCCCTCACAGATCCAAGTCCCATCACCCCCACCTGAATGAGGGGGTATGGTTTGGGGACAGGGGCTGCCCACAGAGGGAGGAGCTGGCTGTGCCTGCCGCCTGCTCACAGCAGATGGTTCCTATTAAAGTGAATTGAAACTGCAGACCGCCGCTATTAACACAAGCATTTTCAGCCTCACTGGCTCCATCATATTTTTAAAATTGAAATAACTAAGTGTTCACACGCAGCCTGGCCAGAGCCTGGCATAGAGGGTAGCTCTGGACCTGGATAGTCCTGGACGGACCTGGAGGTGGGTGGAGGGTATCCAGCCTGGGAACATCAGGCTTCAGCCTTCCAGTGGGAGGTAGGGCTTGGGAGATGCTTCTGTCTGTATGGGACCTGTCTGGCTCCACAGGGCATTTCTGAAGGTCTAGCATTATACTGGTCATTGGTCTTTTTCTTGGGAGCAGACATGGTCCCCTGGGCTTTATAAAGGTGGACACAGACAGCTGGGACTAATCCCTGAGAGAGAAAGCAACTCAGGATTGTCTCTGCCAGCTCACTTGGTCACCACTGGATATTAGCAGGAGGGTTGGAGTGCAAGGCAGATGTATACCACTGTGTCCCTGCCTGAGGCAATGCCTGGCTTGGGGTGGTGCCAGTGTTTGTTGAAGGAACATCAGACCTTTGGACCCACCATCCATGGTGAAGAAATGAAGCGATTAGTGGTACTGGCTGGCACAGAACACCACACAGACGCTCTTCTCGGGGTTGGCGTTGCTTCCTGAAGCGCCATGATGGCGCCACAGATGGCTGAACCCTCAGCTCTGGAGGCTGATGACAGGGCTGTTCCCTCTGCAAGTTAAGAGATGATCTGTTCTGGGCCTTGCCGATTGCTGGTCATCTGTTAGCCTACATGTGGCCATCCTTTCAGATCCTCCCCACTCTCTAAGAGGGACACCTGCAGCTTGGTTTGCTGTAGGGACCCACTAAGCTTGCATTCCAGGGACAAGGCATTAGGACCACAACATCTTAGAGGTGGAGGGTCTTCACGCACAGTGTCACTGAATACCAGCTCCACTGCCTTAAGGTTTTGGGTGCATCTGGGGAAACCAGGGCCTAAGGGATTGACTTGCTTAGACCATGAGACAGTGAACAGTGAGCCAGACATGGAGCCCAGGTGTGTCCCCAAAGTATGTCCTCAGTCATTAAGGCACAGCTGCTCCCTACAGTGCTCACAAAGGCAGGTGCTGTTGCTATGAGGTTGGAAGTCAGTAGTCAAGAGGTCTATTAAACTCTGAAAGAAAGCCCTTGGATTTTCCTAGTGCTTTGCTGGGAGGGAGGCCTTTCACCAAGGAGAAAAGGTCCCAACAGGAACCCATCCCTTTGACCCAGGGCCTCTGGAGCCCTGTGTGGGGGCCACGTGTGGGGTCTACCTAGCCCACTGTGCCATGGAGTGTGGTCAGGTGGCTAAGGAGAAGTGGGGGAGGGGGTTGGCAGACTGGCAGCACATCCCAGAAGGTGCTTGGCAAAAAGATTGGTGTCTCCAAAGGTTGTCCAGAGCGCCTCCCAATAACCCAGTTTAATGTGGAGGTGGGTCATTTGCATATCATTTGCATGCTGTTGGTGTGACGCCAGCTCATAGCGAGCCCTCTCCTGGCCCATTTACTTCTAATGACAGCTTCTGTTTCTTCCCTGGGCCTGTACCTTTAGAGAGAGCTGGGGGGGCGGGGGGGCAGGTGGGCCAAGGGTGAAAGAGACTGCGGCTGGGGCTTTAGCTTCTGGGCTGCTCTTGGGACTCCTGTGAATCAGCCTCCTGTTTTACAGAGCAGCTTGAGAGCCAGCGAGGAAAGGTGAGTGTAGCAGGCTGGTTTCTGGCCAGGCTTGCCCTCTCTTCCAAGGATGGCACTTAACAGCCAATCTGCATCTCCTCAGCCAAACTCACCAACCTCCCCCCTTTAGTCCCCGGAGCCCCCTGTGTAGTACCTGACACACCCAGCTCCCACCTGACAGTGATCTCCCTCCAGGAGCAGGGTCAGGGCAAGGGGAAGGAGGTGGTGACAGTTTGGGTGTGGTAGGGAGCTCAGGCCACACAGCTGTCTGCCTACACAAAGATCTCCTTCATCTTGCCTCTGACTATTGGCACCACTGGGTCCCAGAGGCCTTGACTCCCTGGAATAGAAGCTTGACCTTCCTTTGCCACTGATGCGGGCTGTGGGCTTAATGAGCTTTGCCAAGCTTAATGAGATCGTCTCCGTGCACTCGGGCTCAGCAGCCAGCCTGGGGGCCTCAGGGTGTGCAGACATCAGTGTGCCAAGGTGACAGACCTTTGCGTGGAGGAGGGGCCAAAAGCATAAGTAGGGCCCAGGGAAGAAGAATCCCCTCACCCACCAAGAGCCCTGCTTCTCCCCCAAGACCAAGAGATGTCAGTGGCAGAGGAGTGCCTACTGAGATTTTCATGGGTGTCCCTCCCTCTGGAGAGTCCTTACTGTGCCTCCAGAAAGCGCCTTTGTCTTGTTCCACTGCTAAGGAACCAGAGGGATAGACAGGGACCTATCCCCATCCCCATCCCCAGCTAACCATGAGCTATAAGAATGAACAGGGCTGTGCCCACCCCGACATCTGCCAGAGGATGCTATGGTAATAACCGGAGAGGAATGGGGTGGATACAGGGACAGGACTTTCCAAGCAGAAGACTGCTGTCTACTATCTAGTTAGTACATCTGTAAGTTTGTTGGTGAGGCTGAGGAAGCACGTTTTCAGGCATGGCCTGTGGGAGTGTATCACCTGTTCAACCATTCAGGGCTGCTTGCCCATAGCAATTACAGCTACACAACCCTTTAGATTCAACACTCCTGCTCTTGTGAATCGATCCTGTGCATAAAATTAATGCTGTCCAGGGGCTGGAGAGATGGCTCAGCAGTTAAGAACACTGGTTGTTCTTGCAGAAGACCCGGGTTCAAATCCCAGCACCCACATGGCAGCTAACAGCTCTGTAACTCCAGTCCCAGGGGATCCGACAGCCTCTTCTGACCTCCAAGGGCATTGCACGACATGTGTGCACTTACCTACATGCAGGCAATACACGTACACACATAAAATAATAAATAAAAAATTTAAAAAATTAATGCTGGCCAAGTGAAGGGAAGCACTGAAGGCTGGTCTAGTTGAACAAAGAATGGGAGTTCTCCACATCCGTCAACACAGGAACAGACTAAATGAGTTGCATTTGGTCCACTCAGCAGCTCAAAATGAAGAACGAGGGAGCATCCTTGGATAGAAAAATGGCCAGCGGGTATTAAATGGGGGAGACGAGGTTGCAAAACCATGCTAGTTTATGTGTCTGAAAAAATACCCAAGCAGGTAAGAATCTACGCTGGTTTTTGCTTTCACGTGCATAAAATAATTGTAGAGAAAATACAACAGGAAGCTGAGACAGTGGTTACCAGTGTGTGCTGGGGTGGGGAGTCCAGTCTGAGGCAGAGAGCCATGGAGGAAGGCTTTTGTGATAAATCTTTGTACACTTGGGGTTTCTGAGCGCAGGAATCTATCATCTAGATGATTTTCTTGTAACTAGAAAGAGGTGGCTGACACTGGTTTCCTAGGAAGTATACTCTAGCTTCAGAGAGGAGGGAGAGAAGGGGCCACCCTCCCCCAAGGCCTCAGTAAACACCAGATGCCCTGCCAGGAGCTGGGGGGGGCGGGGGGAGTGGCAATTCCAGGAGCCCTGCCTCTTTCTCTGAGCAGGAACAGGGCTGTTTGTGGTATGGAGCTTGAGAGGCCCCTCAGAACCTTTGTAGTGACTGGAGGGTGGCCTTGTCTGATGCTGCCCCCTGGTCCTGATATAGATGAGTTGTCAACAGGATGCTTGGAAGGGGCAGCCTTGGGTAGCAGGAGGTCAGAATTGAACTCAGCGGCCACTCTGTGAACTGTCTCAAGAAACACCCTCAATCTGCCTACACCGGCCATGTGTCCAGGCGAGTCCCACATTCTATCTTTACCTACCTGCTCATCCATTAAATAGAATAATGCCCACTGAGAATGGTCTTTGTGTTCTAACGTGATGTTTGCCCAGGCTGTGGCCAAGCAGCACCTGCTGAGCCATCTTCTCTGTCATCCTCCTTATCAGACAGGTCTCTTCCAGCCCGGGATGGATGGATACACTTGGAGCCACAAAACTCTTCAATAAGTAGGAGCTCTTCCCTCCCCAGCTGTCTCTCTGGCTGGGGTGGAATCTGCTTTCTTGTATGGGAGGTAGCAAGTGGAAGCAGTGAAGGTCGAAATGTGGCTGGCCCGCTGTGCTTCTGCCCCTCCAGAGGAAAGACATAACCCCTGAATCTACTGGTTCTAGGCGCCTGAGAGGCAGGTGAAACTGACTTGACCCTATCTGTGGCCTGGAGCCTAAACCTAGATGGTCCTGGCATAGATCAGCTGGCTCCCAGTTGACAATAAATGATTGGTGTTGGACAACGTTGTGTTTGTTACACAGCACAGTAGCAGCAAGAGCTGACTGAAGCAGAGTTAAGCTGAAGGTTCTTCATACAGCTTTTGAAGTTCTACCGAGTCTTACCAAACTTCATTCCTAAAGTGCACAGTGCTGCAGCTCACCCCCAGGCTTCATGCAAGTTGTCTCCACCTGGCACGGAATCTTGAACCCATTACACTGTCTAGTGCCTCCTCACCTTACAGGGCTATGCTTCCTCCCAGACTAAGCCTTTGTGGCTCCCCGAGTCTGGGTTAGTCACCCTTAGACCTGACCACACAGCACGCTGTGCTGTTTTTAATCACCTGTTGCTCAGCTTTCTCCTCCACTTGGGGGACGCTCCATGGAGGCAAAGGATGAGTATACCAGCTCCTGTATACAAATACTGATTGCATACCCCCACACTAAACCTCCGTATATCCACCTGGGAAATGGGAATGAAGCAAAGCAGCATCCTGCTCCTACCTTCTGAGTGCTGGAACTACAGGTGTATACCACCTCACCCAGTTTATTCCTTTGACTCCTAAGGGGCTCGAGGTGAATGCCTCAGCAGAGCCTCAGGTCACATCCTGCCCTGTAGTGGGACAATCAAACCATTGGGCTCCTGGCTTTGGAATGTGTTCTAGTTTGTTTATCCATTGCCGTGACAAAATACTCTGACCAATACCAACTTGAGGAAGAAAGGGTTTATTCAGCTTACATCTCCCAGGTCACA